CATAACAATGGTTCATCTCATCCTGGCAATATAAAAAATTATCTTAACATATTGAAATTACAAGAAATCATATTTAAGTGAAAAGATATAATCCGATTTTTTGATAAATTGAGAAGATGAAGATGAATGTTGAATTTCTTCAATGGTTTCTTGATGAATCTTCACTTGCGTCTTCTCTTTTTTGCCCAAAAATTATATTTGAATTTTCACTTGATTGAATTCTTGCAAATCTTCTTCAATTCTCTCACAAAAACTATGAATTCTCCTCCTTCGATGATAATAATTGATGAATAATGCAGTATAATATGTACATGTGAGTGTTCTCAATATGTATTATGCTATTATGTATTTGTAAGAGTCGAAAATTGATTGAAAATCACGTTCAAATTGACTTTCAAAAGAGTTCTAATCGAATAAGGAAAGTCATCTTCGCGAGCGAATTTTTTTTGTCTCTGCACAGTATTTAGTATTTTAACCATAACTTTCTCTTCAGATATCCCATGATACAATTCAAAATATGTTGGAAAGCTAACTCAAAGGGCTACAGGTTTTGTAGAAATAGATATTTTTCAATTCGAACGTTTACTATGCCAAAATGGGTCTCAATCTTCGACTAAAAATCTGGAATATAACTTGTGCGAATGGAAATTGATTTTAATAATATTTCATTCTTTTTTGAGTTCTAATTCCATCCAATTGTCCCCTAAAATCTTCAAAGTATCATCTTATGATCTGAATCAACTATTGAATTTTCAATTTGATCATCAAACTTTGAATTTTGTAAATTTTTTTTTCCAATTTTCACTTCTTTCTTTCAATTCCTTGTTCAACCATTGAGTTTTACCTATATAATATAAAATATAACAATTTAGAATATATTTTGTCAAAAGAATTATCAAACATCGCTATTTTAGACTACAAATAAGTATATAAAATACACTTATCAAATACCCCCAAACTTAAACATTTGTTTATTCTCAAACAAAATTATAACCTAAATAATAACAAACATGCAAAACTATTTAGTTAGACAATCTAACTTTTTATCTTAATATTTGAAATTATAGTACTAAATCTACAAACTGTTTCAAAGTCACAATATCAAACCGATATCGACTCTTCCAATGCAAAATTGACACCTGTGTGTGTGAAGAATTAAGTAGACAATCACGAATTTACAAGTAGCATCAATTCACGACCCTTTATGGCCAAATATTTACTTTCACTTCTTGTATGATTCAC